ACTTACTTACTTACTTACTTACTTACTTACTTACTTACTTACTTACTTACTTACTTACTTACTTACTTACTTACTTACTTACTTACTTACTTACTTACTTACTTACTTACTTACTTACTTACTTACGCCTGTTACTCCTCGTGAAGGAACATAGGCCGCTCACCAGCATTCGCCATCCAACCCTGTCCTGGGCAATCCTTTCCAGCTCTTACCACTTGTTATTCATCCTTTTCATATCTGCTTTTATTTCCCGACGTAATGTGTTTTTTGGCATTCCTCTTTTCCGCTTCCCTTCAGGATTCCAAGTTAGGGCTTGTCTCGTGATGCAGTTTGACGATTGGCGTAGTGTATGTCCTATCCATTTCCATTGTCTTTTCCTAATTTCTTCTTCAGCTGGAGGCCAATTTGTTCTCCCACAAAGGGCTGTTGCTGATGGTATCCGTCCAATGGATGTTGAATATCTTACGTAGACAGCTATTTATAAATACTTGTACCTTCTTGATGATGATTGTTGCAGTTCCCCAAGTTTCAGCTCCGAAGTAAATAGTTATACAGTGATAAAAAGGACAATAAACAAATGTGAAGTAAATCTTAACCTTGGTATTTATTCATTCAATGAAACAAGTTTTACATAAATCAATGTTTAATATCAATTGAATGAAAGGAAGAAAGAAAAAACCCTGGCTGTTTAGTGCTTTTAAGTTTTTAATGGTTTCCTAATATGGATTAAATAGTGATTTCAATGAAATTGAACAATCTCTATAATGCTATAATAACAAAAGCCTAAATTTTTGTTATATATAAAAGTTCAGATTGATGTATATAACGAATGAACAGTAGATAAACTTTAATTAGTCTTATATTCCAATAGGTTAAAAGCATTTATATTACAGATTCATTTGAACAAAGATAATCGTATTTCTCCAAAGATGATTATTTCTTGCATTACACTTTTTCTTTTTTTCGTTTCCATTTCAAAACTTCAACCTTCTTGTTCAAGTTTTACCAAAGTTTATATAATCGATGTCAAATATAAACAAAAAATATTGTATATAACTGTAGTAATGTGGTGCGTGCTACTTATATTGATATAAGTAGTATATGACGCGAATCAGGAATGTAATGTCTGGCAGCAGATGGGGGAAGATCAAGAAAACAAGAGCGGAAATAGAATGCAATTTGCATGAAAATGCAAGGACAATGAAGTCTAAAGCATTTTGAAACAATTGGTGAACATTATGCAAATTAACGATTTGATATATGGTTCTCAGATTTTATTGAGATGCTCTGTAAGTTTACTTGGTCATGAATGGGTTCTGTTAATTCAACTATAATGTGATTACAAGTCCAGATAATTAAATGCGGTTAAGCATTATGATCGAGGTTAGGTAATTAAAGGTGGTTTGAAAGAAACCTTTGATTTTATTTTTTTGTTAATATTAGATTGTTTGTGCTAGGTTTGAAGCGTTTAAGAATTCACTTAGACTGCGAACGGAACAAAGACCTGTGACCAAAGATCAATAAACTAGATATTCTATTGGGTCCCAGCCCCGCTAATTAGAGAGGGAAATCGAAGTCCGAACGGGGAAGTATATTCAGCAAAAAGCCAGAAGCACGAGCGACAACAACAAACACAAATCAAAACGTATATATACAGCACAAAACCGTCCTTGTGAAGCGTTACAAAATAGCATACTAAAAGACACAACGGACCAATAGCGTTTAAGATTCTCCCAAGTGGGAAATACGACGTGAAGGTGAAAACAGCGCTTTTGGCGCAAAAACAAAGAAACTCAATTCTCCTAATTGAAATTACAACATTAGGTCCTTTTTGAAGTGAGTTCTGTGGATCTAACGTCCTCAAAAGTTTGTTTTTGGTTACTTAATTTAGTATCAGAGAATTTAAATGTCTTTTCTTTTTCTTTGATCATTCAGAAGTGCTTATTACTTTTTCTCCATTCACTCAAAATGCAAGTTTCTAGTATATAATAAACCATCAACTATTCACATTAAGATTTCTGTTTATTATATATGAGTTTTTGGTGGGGCTTTTTATTTTGTCATCATTTAGATTGGACAATGTTGTCGACAGGCTCTCCACTTGAGTGGCCTGAGTTCTGACTCTAATTTGATCGTATGAATGATTGTTATATATGTCACCTATCCTCGTATATAATCGTCGACTTTAATCGCGTTAGTCGACAACGGAATCAAATAAGTCAAATAGCGAGAATGGACTTTCGAATAGATATATTTTATATATGAAGCGAATGGAACAGAGAGAAGCGAAACGATGCCCAGTGGAGATGGCGGGTAAGTCAACTCTCATTTGACCAAGCGTTAATCAATATTTATAGTCACACAAAAATAAATTACAGACATGTGATGAGTAATGAGATGAGAAATGTACACATATATACGCTCATGTAAGAACAGTCAAAATTGATAAGTGAATAATTAACAAGGTCAAAATATGACTCAAGTAGAATGAATAGATTGGCCTATCCGAAAGCTATAATAAGGCATATGGACTTAACATAGTAACCGACACTACAGGTTGATTATCTATTAATCAATAAATAAGAAAATGATCTTTTCAATGAATTCCATTTATTCTACATAAACTTGTGTCATGATGAACATAACAAGGCAATCTTCAAAGGATGCATATATGTTCATGAAGACTGATAAAATTTCAGTCAAAATATCAACAATGAGATCATTCTAAACCATTACAGATTAAATTGAATGACCTAAATAGTTTTGTGGAGAAAGAAAGAGTTAGTAATGTTAGGAATAAATTAAAAAAGTTGTTTTACCCTAATGTTAATGTTAAACACTATATCAGCGCATAGCTTTATATCGTCTCAAACTTATGATATATTATCTTGTGTTAAATAGATTGATCTTTGGCCACTTAATCTAAATTCCATAAAATAATTCAATTACATTTCATCACCATTAATAGGAATCCTATCGATAACTTAGCATGTTTACTAGTCATGTGGTGTGTGCTACTTATGTCTACATAAGTAGTATATGACGTCAGTCGTGAACAGAATGTCAGGCAGCAGGGAGACAAGAGGATCGAACAGTAAAGAATGGAAACAGAATGCAATTTGTATGAAAATGCGAGAACAATGAAGTCTGAGTCATTTTAAGACAATTGATGGACATTTTGCAAATTAAGCATTTGCTTTATGATCGTTAGATTTTATTAACAGGTTCTGTAATTTCCTGTCAACCACATTCGATTGTTTCCCACTAGTGTTCTGTTCACCATAGTAATTCTGTTATGGAAGGGAATAATGTGAGAACTACATTCCTAAATTTCTCGTTAATCTCTAGTTTCGGAAGAAAATAACTAAAAATAATACACTTCTATTCAATCTACAGTAGTTTGAGAACCGGGACACAACTGGTTTATAAGCATTAATATCGAGATGTGACATGTAAATTTCAAAAAGTGGATTCGGCATGGGTTAGATTGTTCATAAAATAACTGATGATGTATTCGTACTATCCTAATGAGTAAAAAAAATTAAATTTTTGACTTTCCGTAATTTAGTATTTTATTTATTCTTTGAAGAAGCGATTTATTGGAAGCGTTGAAAGCTTAATTTAAGAGTTCACGTGCGAGACCGAAGATCCTGGGTTCGAGACTCATGTGAGGGATCATGGGTGTGCACTGCTGAGGAATCCCATACTAGGAAGAAACGGTCGTCCAGTGATTTCAGGTTTTCCCTGGTGGTCTAACATTGATCTATTCATGATATCAATCTAAACTCAACAATCTCTTCAACTCTATACTCATTGGGATATCACAAATATATGGTTATATATATTTTTTATTAAGTAGATATAAATATTAGGTTACAAACAATTTATATTTATTCTCCTGTGAAGTTACATTGATGGTAATATCTTGCGAGATAATCAGGTGTTTTTCAACCTACACAAGGGATGGTAGGTTTACAAAATATCATCCACATTATAATGGAATAGGACTTTTTTATATGTACAACTCGATTGAAGAAAATACACAACTATTTCCCCTTTCTTTCTTGATAACTTTGTCTAAATATAAAACATATTAGTGATAGTTGTTTTATTACCACAGTAATGAGTATTGATCATTTAAATGGAATAAGGTGATCTGTAATAATGGACGAGTAAAAGTAAGCTTAAGAAAACCGGAATGTATTTCAGAGAAACTAACTATTCAATTCCCATTTATCATTATCATTGTAATTTCAAATAGATTGGGTTATCTTCTCTACGGCAGATCCTAAAATCTTATCCTTCAGGTGAACATTTTGACGTAAACTGAGTAATTCATCATCGTATACAATACTCTAGTTATACATTTACTGTTTGCATCCGGAAAATCGTTCTGGTAACGGTTTTAACTACTTGTGAGTAATATTTAATTAATAATGAAACTTTCATTACACCTTCATATTTTATGTATAAATACCATAAATCAAAGTAATTCAACTATCCGATCAGATACATTGGCTAAATATGATAGTAAACTGAATGTGGTCTCTTCTTCCAAATGTATACTATTACTTATAATGTCACTACTTAAATCTGGAGCTAGAGATTAAAACGATCATTGTTAAAACAGAAACATTTTATGAAGACTTTTGTATAAGTTAACGTTATTTTTCATTAACAACATGATTCATTGGCAATGGATGGTTATTTCTTCGTAGTTTATGACTACTTTCCGGCTCTCACTCACCAGAATCATATAGAATGAGAACTAGAATGTTGAGGCAGGACAACTACTAGTCGTCAAGTCAAAATTCATTGGTTAAAATACAATATTACTGACGAGAAATCGTCTCACATAACTCCATCAAGCAACAGTATATTTTTATGTTATTGATTATTAAGGTATGAATTATTTTATTAGTTGTTCTATGAATATATAAATCCATCAAATAAAGTTATCTCCGTAACATTTGGCACAGGGAACTTGTGAAAAATGTGGAATGTGTAATAAAACTACTATAACTACTACTACTACCACTACTACCACTACTACCACTACTACTACTACTACTACTACTACTACTACTACTACTACTACTACTACTACTACTACTACTACTACTACTACTACTACTACTACTACTACTACTACTACTACTACTACTACTACTACTACTACTACTACTACTACTACTACTACTACTACTACTACTACTACTACTACTACTACTACTACTACTACTACTACTACTACTACTACTACTACTACTACTACTACTACTACTACTAATGATAATAATAATAATAATAATAATAATAATAATAATAAACTTTGATTAGTTTATTCAGTCTGTAAGTGTACTTATGTCAATACGGCACCAAAATTCTAATCCAGATTATTAGCATGTTTACTTTTCTAATATTTTCTTTTTATTTGCTAATAATTCAACTTTATGTGGATCCCCTCATTTCTTCTGATTATAAAATCGTTTCTAAAATTTTACGAATAACGGAGAAATTACCTAATACTTGATCTCTTCGAACTGATAAAAATGATGAAGAAAACAGCTGTATGTATGTATGAAATTCACGATCTTTTTGAGTGGATAGTGTATAGAAGTAATCATTTCACACATCATAATATTGGTCGAGGGAATTATGAAAAATTGTAGAAATGTGGACCGTAAGCTTTTGAGTTGATAATTTGAAAGCATTACGTTTTAGATAACACCCGAATATCTAGGGTTTAATCCTATGTGTAGTCATGTGTACTTAATATTGTGGAGCCAAAAACTATGATATTACACATTTCATTAATCCTCGGCTTTAAATCATTTACCAACTAAACTATTATTCTAATTTAATTTATCAACTTTAAAAATTACAAACCATTTAAACTTGATCGTTGTGTAAATAACGATGAAGCTTCGGATTGCATTCGTCACAAACTGACTTCAGTCGGAATATCATTGTCAATCAAAGAAGAGTAAACACACATTTCGTCCTGATATAAGATTCCTCTGAAGTATCCATCCTGGAAATGAATTTAATTAAGTAACTTATATTCTGAAAAAGACCGGTCAAAGTCGGTTTTAAATATCAATAAAGTCGAAAATACAAGGCCTTACACTGTGAACATACTCTTTGCCCAGTCAATCATTCTTTAAAATCATATTTGGGCTTTACGTTTTGCATAACTTATTTAGAGTGAACAACTTAGAAGTTTTCATAACTTCAACTTAACTAAACCTCGATAAGGTTTACTATATGACGTTTGTAGTAATTCATGTTTCCAGGAAATAAAATAACTCCGGTAATGTTGATTATATCCGTAACAAACTTATTGTGAACGTTCAACTTGCAAATTACTAGCACAAAAAAAATTAAACTAAAATTTCCAATCATCAGCAGAGATGGATGGTGGCTAGCGGTGGAATCCAGGACGCGCGTTTCGTCCTACTTGAAACTCATCAGCTGGATGTACTTGCATCTCACAGTGGAGGGTGCTGGGCTCCAGTCTCAGGGTGACACATCAACTCTAGGATGCGGGTACACCAGCTGACGAGTCCCAAACAGGACGAAGAGCGCGTTGCGTTCTACTACTAGCCACCACCTATTTCTACTTAGAATGTTTGTGATTTAGGGCGATATCGAGACAACTAACACTGGATGCACAATAAGGCACTGATCAATTGTAGTCCTAAACATCAATGGGAGGATTCAAACAACCAATACAAAAATGAATTAAAATTTGAATGTCGTCAGAAAGCACAGTATTTTTTGAGTTGGAACTGTTGTGGTATTTGTTCTGGTTAATAAATCATTTGTACTTGAGTACCAAATTCGTTCGTATGTAATACAATATACTTAGAAGTTTTCATAGCCTTTTCATGATAGTTTATTTCTAATTACTGGAATAAATAAACGGATCTGAGAGATTCTTTTTATTAATTCCAAGCTAAACATAACATTATTCTATTTAACTTTAAAGGTGACTTTAGAGATGAAGAGTATGGTGACATGTATATTCAGCGATTTTTTGTAACGACGAAATAAAAACCATTCTCTTTCTCTATTTTGTCACACTTTATATGTAACCACATTTATATCTAACATCTATTGTTTCTCTGTATCAATGGTAAAAAACGGACATAATTGTTTGGTTATATACATATACATATACTGATATACTACCGCGTTGGTTGAAATATAAACGCTATCGCCGTTTGTTCTTCTGCTTTATTGGCCACGGCCGTTGATTGAAGATTATAATAGTGTGATAACATCGTTTTGAGCCTTCCCACATTACGTTGGAGTTTTGGCCCGGATCATTATTAAATAATACTAGTGGGTTCAGTCTCTCTCATTACACCGTTGGTGCGACCACGTGCAGAGGAAACTTCGCTAATCAAGTTAAGTCATTCGTGGTTGTCATCTCAGAGAACAACTTACAAGTAACATTCATTTCATAACAACTTATTATCTTGTTGTTTAATATACCATTTATATTGTAACTATAATTTGTTACCATTTGCTTTACTCACAGACAGATACTTAGAGTTGTAATGTTAACTGCTTTTGGTATATTACTGGTAACCTTGAGTATTGTTACATCTTGAATAAGTTATTTTACTGGGATCCACCACAAGAGCACAGAGTGTTCAAACTTAATCTATTGTGAATGCTTGACAAGGAGTCTTTCGGTAGGAATGGATGCTGTTAAACAAATAAGGCTAGCATTAATGCTGAAGACCTATAGATCCATTTATTTTGTTAATCTATCTAACCCACCTAAACAGCTATTCTTCAGTCCAAACCTTAGTTTGGATCTTACAGTCTTGTCCTCCCTTTCTTGAATCTTGTCCAGAGTTTCTCTAGAGATCCATTCCTCATAATGATGCTTCTTGCAGCCCAGAACCTCCTGAAACGTTGAAGTTAATGCTTAATAGATTCCCTTCTAGTTGTCCTCTGTAGTAGTTTCTTTTACCTTTAGTAGATCGTTTAAGGCTTGGAACCTGTTTTCGAGAGTTATCTTGAATCCGCCGAGTTTGCCAGTATGTGGAAGGAAGACTGTATTGAACCTTTATAAGGCTGTTCCCTCAGTTTTCCAGTGTTTCTTTAGCTTCAGTTACATCTTGGCCACAACCAGGTGTGATTTGTAGTTATATCAGCTCCTCTCTTAGTTCTCACTTCTTCTATTGACTTTCTGAATTTTTATTGATGCAAATATGATCTATCTGGTTCCGTGTAGTGTGATCAGGTGAGACCAATGTAGCTTTGTGTTTAATTGTGCGTGAGAATATTGTGCCGTTTATAACCATTTTGTTGAGTGCACACAAATGTGTGAATCTGTCAATATTCTCATTCCTTTCTCCCACTTGATCACTGTCGTCTCATGGTATCTTCATATCCACTGTCGTTCATTCCAACTTTGGCGTTTAAGTTTTCCATCAGAATGGTTAGATCCTTTCCTGAGCATTTCTCTATGATCGATTTCAGCCTCTTGTAGAACTGACCTCCATCGTCCTCACTGGTATAACTGGTGGGTACAAACATTCTATCACATTCATTGTGATTCCCTCCTTCTTTGTTTTGAAGGATGTTATGATGATTCTGGATCCATGAGATTCCCACCCAATAAGTGAATTTCGTGCTTTATTGGACAGAATCAGAGCAACTCCCTGAGTATGTGGCGCATTTTCCTTTTCGTGATCAGGATACAGCATCTCTCTCGAGTTTAATCTTATCTGTATATCTCGTGTCCTGTGGGTTTCACTTATTCTAAGTACTGTCAAGTTGTTCCTACTCACTTCCTTAACTACTTGACTGGCCATTCTGATCTCACACATTGTCCGGACATTCTATGTGTGTATATTGATTGTTGCTCTGTTTGTTAGAAGGAATATCAACCCCGTGGCTGCTGAAGAATTTCAGCTATTACTATGAAACGACATAACTCTTCTAAATATAGATCCTTCAACTCCAAAGACAGAGCCTAAATGGTTTAAAATGTTTATTCTGATTATCGTTTTTCACAACATTGTTTTCTACTGCGTGGGATTGTATAATGTTTTGAATCATTTGAACTATAGCACGAACTAAAAGTATCAGAAATAACGCAATTGAATTAAGAAGTGAGACACAAGCACAAACGAATGTATTGTATTTGGAATTCGAAATCGAGCATTCAACAAGTACAAAGGTATCGTTAATCCATTCAAACGCCACATCCGCCACAGCTTAAATAGGAGTAAAAGTGTTTGTAATCGGTTTTACGTCTTCTTCTCAAGTTCATCCTGAGTCTGTCCGACATTGTATTTGATAGAAACTTTGTAGTATGTAGAATGTGCTCATTAGTATTGCAATTAACAAATGAAATCGGAACAGACTCACTTGGAATTGTATACAATCAGTATGTCGGTTCTGTACTGAAATCATTAATATCTAGAATTTGAACACTATCCTCCCCCCCCACGAAATAATGTTGGATCTTTATATTCGCAAGTTATGAATAATGTGGCTCGTTTAAAACATATTTCTCACATTGATTGGAGTATACATTGGAAGTGAATTTGTGATAAGGATTAACAGCAATTGATGTGAAATAATCTGAATTGTAATCAGAATGGAGCTCATTTAATACTCGTGCTTCGCATTGAACAAGCTTCCCACAAAAAACAAATGAATTATGGGGACAAATAATATTTGGTATGACATCAGGACTTGACTCTTCTGGAATAGTTTCCTCGAATTCATTAAGAATGTCATTGCAGATTAAAAGATCATTAGAAAAATCAGCATCTATCAAAAATACATCAGGTTTTCGATCATAATTATGTTCACTCAACATATTTTCTCCAGATTTGTAAGAAATTTCATCAGAAATATATGAATCATTAGGAAAAGCCATATTTGGTACAATAACATGAGAAATCTGATTGTAGTGACTCACATTTATCACGAGAACACGACTGGTTTGATAAAAACAATTATTATAACCAACTGTACCAGTGTTTGTCTTAATGTGCTTTTGTTTGACTGTGCTAATTATAGCCATTTTGTGCTTCCATTACCTTTCATCATTGTTCCTCGGTTTTTGGTACTGTTCGCACGTACTCCTTTCTCCTGCTTCCACTTGTACCATTCTTTGGCACGATCTTGGTATTCGTCCAATACCACGAGATCGCCAACCAAATAAATCAGGTAACGTTCAACCCTCGCCTTCTGATTTACTTGGCACGTGTTTCTTGGTAGCAGTGTTCATAGTTAATCTCAACTCGACACCACGCTACATGATAAATCGATTGGTTAGAAACTGTTGTTTCGCAAGAATTCT